AAAGTATTCGTATTTAAAGTTTGAATGGTTTTGTCGGTTATCGGTTGTAAACGTAGCAGGTAATCAAATATTTTTAATATCAAGAAAAATTGCGTTGATGTTTCTTGTAAACGATTATATCCATCTGGCTGCCACAGTGACTGAGAACTGCTTGCGAGGGAAATTCATTTCTTGTGAGATCGGCACTCTTTGTTGCTTAAGGTTCGGGCGCCATAAGGTTTTGGAATTCGGAACTCGTGACTCCCCTTGGCGACCTCTTCTAGACGTCAACTTTCCAACAACATTACGAAATCACATCACTCCAACAGGATAGGTGCTTTCGAAGCGTTAACTGCCAGTGTGAAGTGGCTGTTTCCGCACTAACTGCCGCACATGTGAGATCTGTGAAACATGTGTCGCAGACGCTGCATGACTGCAATTATGCCCACCCCGTTCACTGATCTGCGGCAAGTCGTCGCTGATCGTGTCGAAAGGAAACACGCGGCAGGAACACGTTTTCTGGATATCAAATATTGTTGTTTTTTTAATTTTGCCCTCCATTCGAACAGAAGTCAGGAAATGGGGTGTTAACTTGCCAACGATCGATTATTCCAGGGCGTAGATACATGATGCACCAAGTTGCACTTGTTCTGGTTTGGTATGAGTGGTGATCTTTCTGGTCAGAATTAAGTTCTGTACATCTCGCTGTTCCAGATTTCCATTTTGGTTTTCCTCTCTGTCTCCATGAGAGAATGAAAACCAATGACTGAATCTTGAGGCAAATTTGAAACTCGTTTATCACTGATAAGGGAAATATGAACGACGCAACCACGAGTTTGGTGGAGTTCTGTGAAGGAACTGCGACTGCCTAGGGGAAATAGCAGCACAAGCCTTGTGTCTACGATTGTGACTAGGAAGAACACGTCGGCAATGTTTGACTGATGACAGGATGTGCTGTGCCATCCCAGGCACCCAAGGCACGACCCGTAACCATGCCGTTTATCCTTTGATCTCTCCCCGTTTCTCTTAGTTCTATCTTTGTAGATGCTACGGCGGAATCTAAATATCTGTGTAAATTCATTGCAGTACTTTTCCCACTTATTGTTAATATGCAGTTTGCGATGCTTTAAATAAGGACCTGGCAAAAGTTTAAGCGGACCGGAACAAGTTGCGTATATGTGGTTTGTCCTTCCGACCAATCGGTTCAAATTTTAGTCTTAATGTCTGTTTTATATTCTGTCTGCTCTTTTTATATCCGCACCCACCGTCGCTTCTACTGATGCATTTGAGCGCGGTAGACTGCTGTATGGACAAGCTGAAGCATTTCAGAATAATAACCCATAACCGATTACTGAATAGTGAAGAAGGGGTTCAAAATTTTCCCTTCAACTACGACCGAGTACCAGAAGAAACGATGACAATGCCAGCTGACGAAAATAACAAGTGGCAATTGGACATACTACTTGCTATGGTTCGATTTGACTAGTTATTCCGCAAATCACAGAACAGGTTTTATTTCATCATTACAGAATGAATACAATATAATATACAATATAACGCCCTACTGTGGAGTACAAAAATGGCAGAAGAAACAAAGCTAAGCTCATCGCGAAAGCGAATGTTCTAAAAAAAATTCCGTCGCCGTTTGAAAACATATCGAGAGAAAAAAATGATTATATTCCAAAATAAACAGCACTAAACTGTCGCTCATTCGACCGGGTTTATATTACACCTGCCACTCGCCATATACCAGTCGAAACCAAGTCACGTGTGCGATGTTGAATTGCTGTCTGTTTTTCAAACATTCATTTATCTCTACTCAAAGTGACAAAGGCACGCATTTACAAGCCTTCAACAGGCACGAGAGCGAGTAACGTCATAGCATATGGCTAATGGGTTGGCTTCAAACTCCGGAGGTGCCGGGTTCGATTCCACCATAGGGTATTCTTCGTCCATTAACTGCGAATTACCTTGAGCAATGAGTTTGTCACACGTTGCTTCATATCGAAATTGCGCAGTCGGTTGAGCA